TGATGGTACAAGAAATAATTTGATCAGGTGGAAAGATGATAATGGGTTTTGGAGTAAACTGCTAAAGAAGAAGGAAAAGATAAACATGCAGATATTGATCAAAAAACACCTATTACATGTTAAAAATTGGGAACGTGTGGACAGAATCAGGTTCGTGTATGTCTGCGTTATAGGAGGGTTGATAATGGCAAAAAATGAAACGAAAGATATTCCGCACAAATACATCAAGCTTGTTATGGACATTGATAAGGTTCAGAGCTATCCATGGGGTCGTGATGCTTTTGAGCTTCTAGTGGAGTCCATCATCAATACACAAAATAAGTTGAAGAATTCTAAGACCTACGTTTTGGATGGCTTCTCGTTTTCGTTTCAGATTTGGATTATGAAAGCCATTCCAGAAATGGGAAAATTGGTAGGAGAAAAAGTCAAGAGCGATCTTGCTGAAGGTCCTCGATGTTCAAATTGGAAAGGTGTTGCAAGAGTATCCTATGAGGAGATTCAGTTTCTTGAGAGCACGTTTGGAATGACAGTGAGTATAACTTAGCATATCTAATTTATTCTGATTTTGAATGATTCTTAGTGACTGTTTATTGTTTGGCGACTTACCTATTGTAGGATGATCTTTATCCATACATCTCTTCTACGGGATATTTTGACTGATATGAGGCTGATGAGTTTTTATGGTCTGATGAAATCTCTGATGCTGGAGTAACTAAAATAAATAAAATCATCAGATCGGGAAACGATTTTGGAGAACATATTTGGAAAAGTTTAGAAGATGATGAAACTATTGAGAGTGTAGAGGTGCAAGACAAAGCTGTAAGTGATGATGAAACTAATGAGAGTGTAGAGGTGCAAGACAATGCAATAATTGATGATGAAGTTTTTGAAGATCAGAACGAAACTGGAATTGATGATATTCGTGATGACGTCTCAATTTTTGGTTTGAAGAAGGGTAGAAAAAAGCTACCTGATCATGGTGCAGAGAAACGCAAAAAAAGACTACTATCCCAAAGAGTTGCAGGAAAACATGGAGGTCTTGATCAACACATGAAGTCTTTCATCCAAGGAATGTTCAGTGCTTCATTTTCAAGTTTGGAGGAAAGATTTGAAAAGAAGATTAATGAACGGATGGAAAAATTAGAGACTGAGATATTGCAACTCAAGAATTCACTCTCTGTTACTGGATTTACAAGAAACTCTGAGATACCAACAATTTCGAAACCGTCCACCACTAACGATCCCCAGCCTCAAGCTAGAGTAAGTACGAAATGAATAAAGGCTATATTCCTTGTTTTGATTTATTTTTAAAATTTTCATGTTTGTGTTTTTTTCT